CTGAACACCAGCACAGCTAGGAGACCAATACTTGTGTCTGGAGAGCCGCTGGAGGTTCCCTGCCAGGCATGCCAACATCCTGCACCTACAAGTGGGGCAGAATGGATACTGTCACGAGGGGCAGGGCCCAGGTTGCCTGGGCACCCATGACTTGCAATCCTCTGGTCGTTAGGAAGTTGGAAGGGCCACGCCTCTCTTCTTGAAGCACCTTGGCCACCACTATAGGTAAATTTACCTTCTGGAGCATGACCACGGATTCTGGTAGGACAGTTCTGGATGTGACAGGGTAAAGGGGCAGCTGGGCAAAACTTGTCATTAGGGCCTAGACCCAAAACTCAGGCCACTGGTTTCAGAATGTTTATCAGACAAGAAGGACCAGAAAGTCTGAGAGCCACAGGCTGCCTGGCAAGTAAGTGCTGGAGTTCAGAAGCCAGGACATAACTTTGGCCGGTTGCCCTCGCTAATCTCAGATGGGTCCTGCGTGCTTGCCAACCATGTGTGTCCAGGTGCTCAAGCATGAATGGGGCACCTACTATGCTCCAGGCACTGTACTGGGGCGGAGGCTCCAATCATGACCCCAAACCTTGGCTCCCGCCCCATCGAGTTCACAGATAGACCAGAGACAAGCAAACAGGCCATTTCACAGCAGCATACTAGGAAATATCAACACCAACAGCTTGCCCCCTTCCCCTCCCCAGCAATGGTTCTCAGCCTTGGCTGCACAGTAAGCACCTGGGAAGCTTTTAAAAACTGCACATGCCTGGCCCTAATCCCCAGAGATGCTAATTCTCTTATCCTAGGGGTGCATGCTGGACATCAGTATTTTTAGAAGCCTTCCACATGACTCCAGTGTCCAGCCAGCGTTGTGAATCGCTGCCCTAACACACAGAGCAGGACACTGGTGGCTCAGTGGGAGAATTGTCACTTTCCACGCGGGAGACCCAGGTTCAATTTCTGCACCTCATACGTAGCCACCACTCACCTGTCAGTAGAGGCTTGCACATTGCTGTGATGCTGAACAGGTTTCAGCAGAGCTTTCAGACTAAGGCAGACTAGGAAGAAAGACCTGGTGATCTACTTCCAAAACTCAGCCAGTGAAAACTGTATGGATCACAATGGTCTGATCCCGTACGTGGAGTCACCATGAGTCAGAGGCCAACTCAGTGGCAGCTAACAACAACAGCAACATAGGTATTTGATTTGCAATCTCAACTTCTGTAGGCCAAACATAGTAATAATAGTACCCAAATGTCTCTAATGCTTCAAAGCACCTCCATTTGATCACCTCTAGAACCCGTCTGCTCCTAACAAAGCCAGTGAGCCACAGAGCCTGGCGTGCACCCAGAGACTGTCAGGAGGAGAAAAGCCCGGTGGGAGAGGCCTCCATCAGCCTTCGAGGACCACCTG